GACCCTACGGTCACCTGGGGAATGGGAGTTGGGCCGTTTCGGATGGGGCATTTTAATATGGTTGGGAAACGAAGGCGGGCCGCCGCGACCTCACGGCTTCGCCGTTGTTGAGCAGCCTGCGAACCTTCGTCCTGGGGCCCAGGCTGAGGAGGAAGAGGGCCGAACGCTAGTCAATACGGTGGACTGTTCTTGTTGAACCGCTGAGTAATTTTCGCCCAGTGATCGGGGCGAGGAAGATGCTGAAATGTCAGTGGCTCCACTGATCACAGCGATCCGCAGCGATGTTGACTACGCGAGTTGGGATTATGACAATACGGAAATCGATCAAATAGGTAAGAAGAGAACCTTTCGATTTGTCTTCAATTGGGAAAAAACAACGCGATAGTGACCAGAGGAGGACAGCGTAAGTAATATAAATATTGTTTACATAGTGGTGGGGCGAGGCTACACCTCTGGTATTTTTGCGTACCAGTGGTGATTCTCTATACTTATCCCCATGAGGATGTAGATATAAATATTCTTACATAGGGGACATCACCATAGGAACCTTCCGTGGAGACGTCAATTACTGTATAAGTTATGATCGTGTACGCAATGTCAAGGGATGAATATCAAAGAATAAGGAGATGCCGTTTCTTCAGGATTTTTTTTTGAAAATAACACCAGAAAAGTATTCTTTCAAATTTATTTTTATAGTAAGGGTCGCAGTTTCTCTTCTTCAAGTGTACTCATTGAAATATATATAAAGATTTTATTTATTTCTAAATCAATCAACTTCGCGTCTTTGGAATTCAAATTTTTCTTATAGAATAATTTGAATTAAGTTTTTGATTTATTGATTCTTATTATTTTCAGTATAAATTGTCAACAAATACTTTCCTACATGTCATCGCTTTTATGAAATCCAATGAAGGTTCTCAGTGAGGGTTATTCTTATTTTTTTCTTTATAATTTAACCTACAGAAAATAAGGCATAAATGCAAATATAAAATTCACAGACAGTTAAACTTGTTCATCTGTGTTAGCTGATTTTTTATTTTTTATCATTTATTTGTGTTTTGCCCTATTTACAGAATTCTTTTATTGGGCATTTCACATTGTTTCCTCTTTTTCTTATACACATCCCTTTCTTTCTTAGCCTCATAGACTCCTTTCTACCTGTGGACTACAAATCTATTTAAAGTGCTTCAGTACATTTGTAAGGTTCAGTTGTATTTTTCCAGATTTATTCTTCTCAAATTGAATTACTCTTATTTTTCCTGATCAATATATACGTGTACCTATATACATAGTTAAGTTTGCTTCATATTGGAAATATTAATTAAAACACCAATGGGGAGAGTGGAAATTCGTATCTGTGCCGCGCGCAACGTCGGCAATATCCAGAAAATTGGCAAAGTTGATCCGTATGTAAAGATCAAGCTACAAGAGCAGAGGAGTGTGAAGATCAAGTACAGAACTCGGGTAGTTGAGAATAGCCTTGATCCGGTGTGGGATGAGCTTTTCAAGTTCCAAATAGCTGACAGCGACACCACGCAAATTTTATTTGAGCTGTGGAACAACAACATCGCGGTGGACGATCTCCTTGGAAGCTACCGATTGTCGTTGAACGAGATGAGACGTGGGGTAGTGTATGATAAGTGGGTAATTCTTACGGGTACGAAGCTCACCACAACAGAGCTGCACCTTCGTGTTTTGGCAGTTGACTTTGGGCACGAACCAGGCCCTGGGGATGCCGTCCTGAGCTCCCTTGAAGAGGATGTATCTGCTGTACTCACTAACCAGACCATGCGACCAAATGTGAACGCAAAAATGTCAACATACCCGATCAACTTACAGCCACCTCCTCAGACTGTGGTAAGTCAAGCACAATTCAATCCTTCAACCATAGCCACGTCTCCGTCAGGGAAACCCCAGCCCGGGTCTTATGGGAATACACAGCCATCTTTTCATGGTTCAGCCCATCCTGT